GTGCCCTAGGTGGAAATTCGTGTGATTTTAAAAGTCCTCTGGGTGTGCAAAGGAAGGAGAGCTCCCAGGAGCCCAAGAAGGTGGTGAAATGCTGTAAATGAAACCAGCTCCTGTGAGATGAAAGGCCTGTTGTTCAGATGGAGGTGTTTTTAAAAAGCTTATGGAATTGCACAGGATCAGAGAGCGTTCCTCCAGCTGCATGAAATTCAGCAGATCCATGCTTGGTTTAAGAGCAAGAGTGTGGCTGCTCAGTATTCCCTGCCCCTCTCTAACTTGCCACTGAAAGGAGTCAACCTGACACTTAAGAACCTCCACCATAGGAAACAGTTGGATGCTCCTTGTCCACACTAGGGTGGATTAGTTCTAATTTATACAAGTTTAATCCTTTGTCATATGAAACAAGCAACACTGTGGCTGAAAACAAAACACAGGATTACCCTAATAAAATGGCACACTGATTACAGGCAGTGCCACTTCATTCCTCCTGTGACTTTCTTAAATAAGATAACCAGTGGTTTTAAGGTAAACTGGAAACCTCACCTTATTTTTCCATACTTTCACAAACTGTTATGCTGCTTTGATGACTTGGAGGAAATTCTGTTGGTGTTTTCTAAGGCATTTAACAGGACTTAAAATCCTAAAAGCCTAGGGGCATGGTAAAAAGAAAAGGAAATGAAAATAGCAGCTCAGGATTTTCAGTGTGTTTTCCTCTTTGTTTCATAAAGAAGCTGTTAGTGTTATACTGACTCTGGCTGAGGACTTGAAGATTTTTCTGTTGCACTGAATTTGCACTTGTAGAAGAACAAACTCTATCATAAAAAAATAAGGACTTTTCCCATTAAGATGGATATAGCAACCTCAAGGCAATCTCACACATCCTGCAAGATCAGAGGATCACAGGAAATATCCCCTACATCATATCTGTCATCTCTTAACAGACTCCTCTGACTAACTGCAACCATTCTTAAAAATATGGAATATGAAAACAGTGAGGAGCAATTGTATATCCATAATCTTAGTAAAAGTTTGTTGCTTAGTAAAAGGACCTTCAAGACCATCTTTACTTTTGACAGCACCAAGATCATTTTCAAGTGCCAGCGTCTTATCCCGGGGAGGGACTGCTAAGCAAAAACTCATGTAATTTTAATAGCTATAGCAACTATCACTGTAAAATTCCCTGGAGAACTTCTCAACATAGACATGCCATGATAGGGGCTGTAGGTCCAAGATGTAGGTCACTGGCTTTTTATCCTACAAACCACTCCATATGGGACAACCCCCCAGACTCCCAACCAGCCTGTTCCTATACTCTCACCTGGGAAGAGGCTGCAGGAAAATTTCAAGTCTGCTTTTGACTTATAAGCAATTCCCTGTCTCTCCTGCTTATTAATGCCTCTGAACAGGAGCAGACTAGAGCTTTTCTTATCAGACAGTCCTTTGAGTGCTTGTGCATTACCCAGATTTGACAAAACCTGGAAGAAATAAAAGCAGCTGCCCAACTACCCTCAGAAGGCCTTAAGTGCCAGACTTTTGCTTAGGCTTGTCTTTCACAGCTTCAAAGGAAAGTGTGATTCTTTCTGGAGCCCAGCTGTGCATCTGAGATGATATTTTTTGAGCAATAACACTAACCAGAAGTACATTAACTTCTCAAGGACATACTGGCTTCTGAAACTATCAAGCAATGATTTGGACAATCACTCCACCTGGGAGGTGATTTTTACAGAAATTTGCACCCACCCTTTTCACAGCCAGAAGGACAAGTCAGAAGTTCTTCTGCTCAAAAGAACAGATTGCAACTTGCAGACATGGAAAATGCAAAACGCATGTGGATGCTATAATTGCCCCGTGAGACATCCCATTACTCCTGCTTGGGGTTATGAAGAGAGTTTATACATGCAAATGAGTTCAGAAAGTATTTTGCAGGCAGACAGGCAGCTGGGAGCCAAAGACTAACAACTCCAAAACTCAGTGTTCATAAGATACATGTGTGCACATGTAAAGGACAGAAAGAGAGAATACTACTTGTCTCATAACTGAAAGATTAGATTTCTCTTTTCCCGTGCATTTTTAATGTGCTTTACAGGGTTTCATGAAACAGAACTCCCTGGGCAGGGCTGGGGGCACAGGAAAGTTGTCTGCTCCTGGGAACTGCCAGAGTTACAGCTGTGCAGTAGATGGGATGACATGCAGACCTGTTTCCAGCCTCCACTGTATCATTCTGCCATGGAGGACTAAAGCTCTCCTGGCCTCTCACACAGATGCAGATTCCTGATGAAGGTGACCCCACCAGCTCCAAGGTAGGTTGCCAGAGGAATTGCTACAACAGAGATAGACGTGGTCATTTTTTTGCTTCTCCTTGCCAGGTGTGATAGAGCAGTGTGACACAGTTCTTACAGGTGTGCTCTCTGTGGCAAAGCCAGGGCTGGCTGTGCAGCTTCCTTTTGAATGCCATGAAAACCAAACGCGGTGGGACAGCGTGCTGCCAGGACCACAGGACACTAATCCTCTGGCTTACAGAATCCCCCACCCAAATACAGAAACTGGGACTGCAGCTCCAGAAAATGCACATCTGAAGCACCTCAAAGAGCTTCAAGCTGAATCCCTGATGGTCTGACTTCTCGCTCCCTTTTCGAAGCAGCTCCTTTGTTTTAGTGTTACTGTTCTTTTAGCAGAGCCTCTACATAACGGAGTATAGATCGAGTCTCCAGTGTCAAAAGTGGTCATCTCCCACATTTGTGAGAGGTGTGGGTAGCCAGCAGGGTTGGAACAGAAGCAGGATCTCTGAACTCACCTAAAGTCAACTCAGCTCTGAGCCTGCTCATTACAGACTACATTTTTCTAGTGAGAGGGCTGTTGTATCAATTTTGTTCCAAATCAAGGGTTTGATTAATCCCTGTTCTGACTCCTCTGAGTTCAATCACATTATACAAGTCATGAATTTAGCTCTTAACTTTCTCCATACAGAATACTGGTTTGGGTTTTTTTGATGCTGCCTCAGTGAACCTTTCAATTTATGATGCATCATGCTCCAGCAAAGCATGTAAGCAGACACATGTGGGAAGTGAGAAACTGCTGAGAGAGGAACTGGACTAATTCCATACTGAAACCATCACCAGCCTCTTTCACCTGACATCCTTGCTCCTGTTTTATTCAGTGGTAAAACAGAGGGATCCTCCTTCAAGCCTTTGGCTTCCCACAGCTGAAGTGATGGCCAAAGCAAAGATTCCCACTGTCCTCCCTGGAATCTGGATCTGAGCTGTGGGTAATGGTTTGTCTTGATGGTAACAGGGGGGTTTAGGGAGGATGAGACAGTGAGTCCATCCCTTCTGTAACAAACATGTCCACTATGTCCAGACTGCCTAGGGATTTTACCAGATACGAGTGACATCTGCTCCTGAGCCCTGCCCAGAGATCTTACTACTTAACACTGGTTACTAGCCTACAATTGTCTCTGCTGACTTCCTCCCACAAGTCCCTCCAAATTCTCAGCAAAACCAGACTGTAGTCCCTGCTCGTATATGATGGTCATGATTTTTTTTTCTCTCATGCCCTGTCTTCAGGGCACATTTTTGATGCCCCTCATCTGACCAACATTTCCCTCTTCCAGGTCTGCTCTGGGTCCGCACTGGACATTTTTCTCATGTTTCTTTTCCATTAGGGGAACAGTTTGCTTCTAGCTAGGGACTTAACACTTTGGCTAGTTCCCAGATCTGTTACACAGACATTACCTATTCTGGATTTCACACCACAATGACGGTTTGTCTGAAAGATCCCATTTGCTATTTACCCTACTTCTGCTAGTTTTGCAGCGTACACCCTGCAATGTCCCTTCCTAGCCCCACAGTGCCAATATTCTGGTCATACATATCAAGGCTCCCACATGCTGTCCCTTTTTAAAAGCACAGTTGCCCAGCAAAACCTTTCAGCCAACATTGGATGGACATCCTAATTCTCCCTGCCACCTTCTGCAGTGAGAGTAAACAAACCACATTTCTCTCCCTTGCATCAGTTGATGAGCAAACTTACATTTCTCAGAAGAATCTGCTATGAAAGATCTGTCAAAGCCTTTTCCTACTTCTCCTTCATTTGCCCCTCTTCTTAGCAAACTTTCAGCCTCAGGAAGGCTTAAATAATATATCTCCAAATCCAGGGAAACAATGGTAAAGGGTTACTGCAAGTCAGTCTCTTCAAACACCGAACAAGAGACTTTATTTAAAAATAAATAAAAGACATAGCCTCCCTACTATACTCTGTCTGTACCCCCTGGAAATTGCCTGCCTGGAAGCTCATGCAGCTTCCTGGAGCTTGCTTTTCTGAGCAGACATCCCCACAGGGACCATCCCAGGACATCTTTCCCGACATCTCAGGCCAAGAAGCACAAGCAGCATGTGAATCCTGGCCATATACTGCTCTCGCTCAGCAGGAGTGGCCTGAAAAGGACCATGGCTTTGCTACAACTGCTTTGTAGCCCCAACAAGCGTTTCTGGCTTGCTGTGAGCCACTTCTCAGGCACCCTTTTCCTGCCTCCTCCTGCAGCCACGCTGCTTTCACATCAGAAATACTCCCCCAACACTTTTGGAGTTTCTTTCTTACACAGCCTCTGCAAGCCAAGAAAACTGCTCAGATCTATTCAGGAGATTCCTGACAGTCTTCAAAGGATTGCTAATTCCAGTCTGCTTGAAAAAAATGTAGGGCATTCCTCCTCTTACAGCTTTTCTGCCTTCCCTTCTTTCTCTAACTCAGCACCTGTTGGTGCAACACACCAGAAACAAAGTGCACCTGAATCTATCTGAAGCTTCAGCAGCTCCTGCTGTAGGCAGGGAGATTGGACACCCCTTGGAAGGGCCATCCAGCTGCCTACGCAAAACCAGCTTTCTAGAGTAGAGTGGTTCACCCCTGGCCGGCTCGGCTTAAGGGCTGACAAGGGTTAACAGTGTTTGCTCCTCGCTCCATCTCACCCCCTCCTCCTCCTCACTGTGCATTTCAGTCAAAGACCTGCTCCCTGGCCAGCCAGTGCCGGGATTAGGCTGCTCCAGCAGTCTGGCTGACACTCTGTGCAGGAGCAGGTCCGGGGGTCCGCAGGCAGCACAGCCCAAGTGCTGCAGAGCCCTCCGGGAGGAACTCCAGAACTGAAGGGGCAACAATCACCACTCTGAAGATTTTTAAATTATGCAAGTTCAAAACAACCTTTGAAAACACCCAACTTAGGAAAATACCGAATTTCTGGTGGTTTTTTTGTTTTGTTTGGAAATATCCCCTCCTCTCCCCCTCCCTTTTTTTTTTTTTTTTTTTTTACTTTTCTTGAAAGACTGCAAGTATTTTAGTTACTATGCCTGCTCAGGAGCCATATGGAAAAATCAGTTCTGTCCTGTTAAACTGGTTGCACAGTTTTGATTTTCATGTGCCTACAGAGATCTGAAAAACCCATGTCGTTTTATTTTATGTTTTTTCGGCAAAGAGGGCAAGTGGTCTGAGGATCATCTGGTCAAGAACACAATAGGTAAGCACAGCGATTTTTGTGTGAGGTATTTCCAAGAGTCTGAGAATATGTTGTTTGTGTAATTGGGTGAAAATTACCACAGCCTTTAGGACGATGTTCTCTTTGGGATAAGCTGATTATAGGTTTGTTGATCGCTTGGTTTGTTTGTTTTCCTGGACGAGGAAAAAACTGAGCTGCTGTGGTATCAGTGTGGTTTGCAGGATCCTGTCATTTACACAGCAGAAAGACTTTTTTTTTTCTTTTTTTTTATCCTCTCCAAAGGGGCAGAGCAACTCAGATTCCACTGTCAAAGGTAAAACAAAATATTTGGGGTTAAGTTTTATATCTGTAAGCTATTATTAGACTACAAGAATAACAAAGTGGCAAAGTGACTCAGAGTCATAAGGAGAGCTCTGTTATAAGAACATTAAAAATGGAACTGACATAGAAATCTTAACTATTCTTTCAGCTTGTTCAGATGGGTGTTTAATCCTGCCTTCAACCAGGTGCTAAAAATATTACAAACAGGCAGAGAATATATCAACTTTACATGGATGTTGAGAGGGACATTCAGATAATCTGGCAGTGATAATTTCAATAATAATCTCACTGATGCTCAAGATGTGCTTTACTTTGGGAATCACAGATTTTGTACATAACCTCCAGTTGTATTCAACAGTATGTTTAAATGTGCATGTTTGAAATGGATTTTACAAGGAGCAGGTCCTTTCCTAAAGTCACTTTAATTGCAATGGACAGCAGGTCTGTTGTACTGTAGATTTGACTGCTTGAGATGCTCTGCACATTTGTAGGCACCATAAGGAAAGGGCTGATCTCAGAAACAAGTAAAAATTACAAGGAATTGAGCCTTTGTCTTTTATGTTCTCTTCTACCGTTACCCAATAATCATATTTAACTGGGATATTTACTCTTCGCTGCTTGTAAGATGCAATAAGCTACTTTTCCCTCAAAAAAAGGGATCTTGCTTACAGAGCTCCCTCTGCTTTCCAAATCCCTGAGCTACAGCTGGCACCTGTGTTAAAGGTCTACACCCTTTCCACTTTCATATTTGCCTTTTTCTGAAACTGGATGTGGCAGACAAAAGTGTTGTAAGCACAATCAATAACCTCACATAGTAGTGTACTGTCAAATTCCTTGTCCTAAACAGGGTGTCCTGTCTGTGTGGCTCTGGGCAATGTACACAACCTTTTAAATAATGTCAGAAACAATGCCAGCATTTGCTGAGGACCGGTTGTGTACTTTTCTCTCACAGATGCCAAGCTGATAAGAAAGCCCCCTGGGGAACAGGGACACACCTGATGTTTAAAAATCTCTTATCAGAGTGAGTACAATATAGTTGCTCCTGCGAGCAGCAAATGCTGAGACAGGCTGGAAGTGATGCAGGTATGAAAATGATGGGCAATGCGAGAATCTAAGAACAGGATTACTGCCCTACAGTAATAAAGCTTTCCTCCAAATGAGATATGCAAAATGCTTAGAATCTCTTAAGCATCAGTTCAGGGAGTCTTATCCAGCCTTCTCCACCTTTCATCTAAAAGTATCTTACACAATTCTTAATAAGTCATGCTGATCCTCTTCTCTACACATAGAGAAATAAAAATCCAATAATCTCTGACCAACCAGCAGAAGCAGTGTTTGGGAGACAGTGACCTCCCGTGAGTTTGAAAGTGACAGCTCCATTACAAACAGCTCAGCCTTGAAATTTAGGAAATGAAAACCATAAACTAGAAAAAAGATATTTTTATGTAATTCTCCACTCATTCTTTCAGCAGTAAAAGATTTTTTTTTTTTTTACAACTGTCTTGTGATATTGCACCTGTGCTACACTGACCGTATTTTCTATAACCAAAGACTTCATTCCAGCTTCTTGACAGAGAAATCCCCTGAGAAATATTTCTCTGTGAACTTTAAGCAATTTAGCAAAATGGAGACTGGCACTCTATGAATGCCTGACTTGCAGTGATTATGATAAATACCAGTAAAAGCACAGAGAGTGTCACTGATTATTTTCTCCCCAATGACAGCAGTTTCTATTCACTTTTGTCATCTCACTTTGCAGTACTGAAGATGTCCTGGCTCAGGTTTTATCTGCCTCTCCACATTCTCATGGCAGCTTGCTTGTGCCATTCCATAAAAGCACCCACCAGTTCTCAACAAAGCTTCCGGACTGATCTCTTCAATTTCTACCACTCCCTGATACTTGCTGATGGTAAGGAAACTACAGTTCACCTGATGAAGGATATACCCAAAAGGTAAGAGCAAATCAGCCGCTCCTGTTCTCAGATACTTCCCTACAGCACTGGTAGTTGCACACCACCAGCACAGGCCAAAAATCTATGCACCTGCAGAGCTCTACCAGTGCACGCTGAATGTACAGCAAGAGGCCCACTATTCAAGTCATTCCATTGCCCAGAATCTGGAATGAGCCTCTGAGATGACATTTAGGTTCATGTACACATTTCAGGCAGCTTTCTGTGGTGTTTGTCAGAGCAGCAGCTGATTACCTAGCAAATTAACTATACCCAAAAATCAAGAGAACATCTGCACAGACATCTCAGAGAAACTTCTGCCAGTGTCCTGCACGCTTGCAAGTGTTTTTGCTGAATGGCCCTACAACTTGCTAAGACCAAAAGCGCTTTGCACGTGGAAATTCCACAGACTCTTTGCTTCCCCAAAATGTCTGCAAAGTTTTCTGCCCTACCTGGATATGTGGGTGATCTGGGTATTACAACTGGTGCTGTACATCTTGGGTAGCAAAGATCAATCTGCTTGTTTGGGAAGAGAACACTTGAAGGGGTTTAATTAGACTCCACTCTGGGCAGTGACCAACACACAGAGATTTTGACACAGACCCGAGTGGTCACGGAGCAGAGGGCGAGTCCAGATGGTTCAGTCTTCACATGCATTGCACAGACAGAAACTGGAACATGGCAATATATTATATAACGTGGTGATGCTCACAAGAGCAAAACTAAGAGTTCTCCTTGTTAAAGGAAAAGGGGCATTGAAATCTCAGAGACAAGGGAATTTTTCTACGCTCATGTGGCGTAACAGTACAACTGCAATTAAGAGGCAAACCCCCTTCAGTTTAACGTGATCAGGTGAGGTTCTTATGAACCCCAGTCATCCAAACAAGTTTCGGCTTAGAGTAAAAGACTCAAGAATGTGGCCCAGTAGCCACATCCTGAAATTAAGCCAGACCTCTAGGCTTACATGATGATCCATAATGACTATGCTTGTCTCACTAATAAACAAAAAAAAACCCTTGAATTGCCTCCATTTAAGTGCAGAGTGAGTGACCTGTGTCCAAACAGTTCTGTGGCTATATACAGTCCTTATAAAAACAACAGGAATAAACAGAGACGGGAGGTTGAGCTTTTTTTAGGCGGGAATCAAAGCTGACCAAAGACGCTGATGTCACTTTGCACTGCTCATGCACAGCAGCCTTTGACACAGAGGCAATTAAGGTAGAACTGGTCTGGATCAAACTGCCTTTTACATCTGAAACTTTTCAGGACTGGCTAAAACCAGTCTGTTAGATCTGCATCTGACACCCAGGAAAACCCAGATATGCAAGCACATATGAGGGAGGATAGGATCTAAGAGCCTTCACTAAACTCCAGTCAGGAAACCCTGGGGATAAGTGTACCAAATTCCCCAGAGTCAGGCAAAGGTGGTTATCTAGAAGGCAGTTCAAGCTAAATCATATCCATCACCCAAAATAACCAGCTAAGGACTGCGAAATGATATTCACCTCAAGTATGCTAAAATTCAGAGGGAAAAAAATATCACCTAAGGTACATGAACAAAGCTTTGAGCAAATATTTATGCACTAGAATAAAAACAAACCAACAACGCACAGCTTGTATCCCTCCCACAGCTGAAGGTTACAGACATTCACATCCCTTTGTGTGGATGCACCTCAGAGAGCAGCAGTCATTTCAATACCACATCAGGACAGCTGATTACAAGGCATCTCAAGCAAACTTGAACTCCCCGACACTTTCCCTCTGTTTCTAATCCACATTTACAGGTACTATTTTGTTTTGGAAGAAAGCAGAGTCCTTTCGCCGTTCACAATAACAGTGACCCCCTGTGACGTTCCCATCGAATGGAGCATCCTTGTGCACAAGGCTTCAGCAAGTTCCCTTGGAAAAGAAACACAAGGTGAGACCTTCAGCCCATCAAAGCAGAGGCAAAGAAAGGATAAGTTACTCACAGGGAACTCCCCACAAGCCTAAATAGCTCACGCTTCCCTCTGTTGTAAATTGCCACAGACTCACTCTGTTTACATGGATGAAACGTGGGAACCCATCAGATTTTGCCCTCAACTCAAGTTAAGTTAAGGATTATCTGTGGAAAAAAGTCTGCATCTAAGGTTAATATTTGGGAACAACTGTGGGTCTTTGTGGCTGCACAAACACAGATCAACTCCATCAGCTCTTTGTACTGGGCCAAACTTCCCCCCTGCTGCCTCAGCTCTTTTTCTGTGGCTTTGGCCACTTGAGACAGTCATTTGCTCCCCACAGCGAAGCAGAGACAATTTATCCATTTCTTCCTCTAGGATTACCATTTACCATGTCAGTGGGCATTACACTGCCAGTAGCCCAAAAAGAAATTGCTTTCTCTTGCATGAATTTTTTGAATTAATGTTTCGAACTAAGAATCTGAAAGCTGCCATTAACAAGTCTTACCTGGCAAGCAGGTACACCTGACCAAGTTCAAATTATGCTCCTGTTTTCCTTCTTCATAGGAGACAATGGCACAAAACTAATCCAAAGGAAACCCCTATTCTAGAAAGAGTGAGTCTCCTTAAAATAAAGTACCCGAAGGGACAGCTAATGGAAGAAGAAAATTTTAGGGACATCAGCATGATACAAGTTAAGCTTTTGCAAGCCGCGGTTTCATAATAACAGTTTTTGAAAACATAATTCTACAGCTGCACAGTGAAAATAAAAGCTTCTCAAATTTTATCTTAATAAATTGCCAGTAGCAACTGAAACATATTTTTAGTTATAATTATTGTTTTCAAGAAGAAAATACGATGTTCCCTTACATGTGAACTGTAAAATTTATACGATGTGCTCTATTTCACATGGGTTAAACCAGCAGTTACAACTCTGCTTTCTGCCCGCAGGTGACCACGATACACAGGAGGTCTCACAGTCTCAGAAGGCCTCAAGCATCGTGTCCACCATTTTTAACTACAAGGGAAATTCCGTAGAGACTTACATGGGTATGTCTTCCCATTCTGCCCTTTACATGCTGGAGTTCTTATCCACTGAGCGGGACACACACATTACTGTGTACCTAACGACTGACACAACATCTGGGCACCTCTACCCGGAGCTTCCAATGGATCCACGCATAGATGTTATTGGAGTTGGGCATACAACAGTGACTCTGACCTGGAAACACAGTCCTTCTGTCCTGCAGCACAGAGAAAGCATCCAGTACTGCCTCCTAGTTAATGAGAAGCACAACTACAAGAGCTTATGTGCTGCTGAGACAGCAATCAGATCCTCTGGAATGAAGCTGCCACCTACGTTGGCTTTGTCCCTGTCCCCCTACCTCCTCGAGCCGCAGCAGGTGATGATATTGTCCAACAGTGAGCTGAGCATCATCAACAAAGTGAGCAGCGGGGAAGTCCGGCAGATCTGCATGGGCACCAAGAACACTTACACAGTGCCCAACCTCAGCCCCAGCACCCAGTATTACTTTGATGTTTTCGTTGTCAATCTCCTTACAAACGCCAGCGCCGCTTACACTGGGACGTTCGCAAGGACCCTGGAAGAGCCTGAACCCAAGGTGACCGAGCTGAAAGATGGCAAAGTGATTCAGGTTGTCCTGGATGGGAAAAAGAAATTCTCCAGCCTGCAGTACCAGGCGAGGCACAAGAAAGTACAATTCTCCTTTCAGTTGTGTCGTGGCCAAGTACGGGTTCACATAACAAAGAACGGCAAAACAGTGGCCTCGGAAAACATCTCAGGGCTGAGGTATTTCTCTCTGAAGGGAAAGCTGCTGGACACATATCTGGTGCAGCTGAGGTCCACAGAGGAATCTAACTCTTCTGTGAAAGTACAGGTGTCCCCCCATTTCCACAAGCCTTTATTCCCGCTTCTTCCAGAGAGCTTAAAAATCAAGTCCTTCAGTAAACTGAGAACCTGCAACTCTGTGACCATTGCCTGGCTGGGAACACAAGAGGAGAGCAAGTACTGCGTGTACAAGAGAAGGATTGAGGAAGATCAGGTCTGGAGGGAACTGCAAAACGCAGACAGGTGCTCTGGACCTGAGTCTCGGCACAAATCAGAGAAAGTGCTGTGCAAGTATTTCTATGATCTGAATCTCCAGCGAGCTGTCACCACAGAGACCATCAAGGGGCTGGATGCAGGAACACTTTACTTGTTTGATGTTTATCTCTTTGGGCCATCTGGCATCCCTGTGAGATATCACAGCAAAGTCGTGAAGACCAGAAAAAAATGCTGAAGGTTTTTAAGAACAGATTTGAAGTGAATGAATGAAGACTTCTCGAAACCTACACCAATCCATGTCATAGCCTGTGCAGTTTAAAATACACTCAGATAAAATATAAAGCCATGAGATTCTACAGAGAAAAAAAAAAAATCTTAGTTGTCTAGATCATTACACTTACTTTTACATCTCCTCTCCTGTGTAGGGTGAGGTTTTTCTCTTTTCCTATCTCATTCAGACATCAAAAACAGACCTGTGAAACAAACCCACAATCGTGGAAACAAAATACCCTAATGGCACCTATGAGAAATAGATTGGTTACCTAAAATGCTTCTGAAATCCAATACAGAAGTGATGGGAAGCGCCTCACAAGAAGCACACATTATTTTCAAGTCCCAGAGAGTTTTCCACTTTCTGTAACTCACAGAGGTAATGGGGAACTGAGAGACCCCCACAAGTCAGGCTACTCTTGAGAAACTGCATTTCCTCACTGCTTGAGCAGAGATGGAGACAACAAGAAATTAAAAGAAGCAGTGCAACTCATGTAAAGCTCCACACCTCAAGTGAAGCAGGCTGAAACACATCTTTCCCCGTTACCTGCATGTTTGTTTGGTTTCATTTCTATAGAGAAACTGTGCTTGATTAGAAACACAAAGTTTAGGCCAGGAGCTAGCTCTGGATCCAGCTTTTCTGGGGAGTATACAAACACACTGCTGTGCTGCTGCCCACTGAGGACAGCAGCAAATGAGGAATCCTGACACAGAAAGAAGATTAATCTATAACCTCAGATATCGAGCCCCTGTCTATGACTGTGTGACTCCTGAGTGTAATATATTCATTCTTTACATCTTTAAATGAGCTTATATGAATGAATGCATTGCCTTGAGAAAAACTAAGCGTGGTTTTCCTATTAAATATCATGGAGGAAAAAAATATTTGTAGTAAAAATCCTGACAAACACTTCTTAGTTGCCTTGTTTCCTTGATTACCTTCCTCAAATGACATGAGACAGTAAAAAAAAAAAAAAAATTGAAAAAAATTAAGTCATCATAAACCGCCTTAAGCTCAATGTCAATTATCAGCAGAAAATATTTTGCACACAGGCTCTGGAATTTACATATGAAGAGATAAAATAGATCCACTGACCCCCAGAGGTTACCAGAGAAACCTTGCCTGCAGTAATTCTTTTTTTCCCTACACTTACACTAAGCAAATACATAAGTTATTTGTTCCATCATTGGATATTTCAGAAGTTCTCTCGCCATTCAGGGCCATCAAGGTTCTAGTTTGAGCAATTCTTACCTCCAAGCATGTTTGGAGGCCCTTGGCTAGGACTGAAAATCAGTCCTGTGTGCAGACACAGAGGTTTGCTTGTTCCCTGCTCCAAAGGCTCTCCAGCCCTGTGCACCCTGCACAGCACACACCATCCATTAGCAGACTCTTTAGCCCCAGATGAAGGGCTCAGGCCTTCACAGGGCATCAGCTGCAATATCTGGGCTTTGGCTGGGCTTTACATTCCTGCAGGCACCTCTCTGGACTGAGCAGTGCCACAGCAGGAGCCACGTGCTCTGCAGCCTCCTGTCCACACTCCAAGGGCCTTTTGGCTAATTACAGGGGCTGGCAGCTGCACTGCCTTCATTCCAAGGCAGGCCTCCTCTTCATTTGGCTCCTGCCAAAAATAGTCAGAGCTCAGAGGGCAACAGAGGTCATCTCCACTTGGAAATCTCGACATTTTCTGCCTTCCTCCTCTATTTCAGGCATTTATATGCTGGATGAATTTCACTTAGATGTCCTACAACTGACTGTAATAACCATGATAATAATAGAGGAGGAACAGGAAGATCTGATCAAGTTCAGATATATTCTTAATCCACTGCCCTCAATCAGACCATTAACCCTTGCTTTTGCCCTCTACAAATGCTACAAAAATGTCACTTGGCTGAGGAAGATACATCATTGCCCAGGATCGGTGCTCTAATGAAGTAGATTTTTTACAACAGAACTGGTTTTGGACTTCTCAGCAAAACCTTGGTTTTGTGCTGCAGCCAAGAGGTCTGAGGAAGGTATAGCAGAGCCTGGCATAGGGCAGAGAACTGAGCAGTCAAAGGTGACACAGGAGCAAAGGCTTAGTGCAGCACCAAATTGACTGACAGTTAATCGGAACCTGGAGGGAAGGAGTTCAGGTTTGGAGATCAGGGCAACTTTGAAAAGAGCCACAAGATTCTCCTTTTCCCTGATTCACCAGCTCCTCTTCACTCCACCTCTCCCTGACCATTGTCACATGAAGAGGACTGGCTGAGGCAGAGACCAGTGGGAAGCTCTGAAGGCCAAAACTTACAGCTCCTGCAGCCCAGGCTGTGACCCCAGCAGAGCAGTGACCACTGCAGCTGCAGGGAGGGTAGATGCCAGTCCCTCACTCAGGAGGAGCTGCCCCCCACACATACCAGGCACCCCATCAGCAAAGGCCCCTGTGCACAGGAGAGAGAGGCTGGAAGCAAGGAGGAACAGGCTGTTCTGTCAAGACTCATTTGTCTCTAATCTAAGCAGAGCAGGTAACCTGCCCTCCAGGTAACAACCCACTTTGCTTGTGTGTGCAGCCAGCCATGCCCTGTAACACAGACCCCAGGAGCAGCAGGGAATATTCCTCTCTGTTGATCTTTCCACTGTAATGCTGCCTCTGTGCACCAGGCTGCAAACCTGCTACCAATTCACTTGTGCCCATAACCCTGCTTATGGAGCAGCCTTTGGCTGCACTGCTTTAAGCTGGGTGTCACTCTGCTGACTGCTGTCCTGGAAATTTGAGAGGTTTTTCCACACCTTTCTGGGAAGGTGTGGAAGGGTTTCTTCCCACCCCTATGTCAGTAGTTGTTTAAGTGCACAGCTCCCCATCTTCAACGCTCAGCAGTTCTTTTCTTTCAAAGTTGCTTGGCACCTTTGATTTTTTTCTCTTCCCATTTGACTAGTCCTTGCCTATTGCAGTCTGGCCATAAACATTTCCCAAGCCACATTTACCTACTTTGTCTTCATGCTTTCAGCAGTCCTTGCTCAATTTTTAGGGAAGCTCAGTTCCCTCAGTTTAGCCTGTCCTAAACTGTCACCAGCTCTTCCTATCTGCTCCCCCATCCTTGCTGAATCTGAGTCACATCCGAAGACATTCAGACAAATCTCTTCATGGAGAAGATTTCAAAAGCAATGCTTTTTGCTTGTGGATCATTTCAAGTAAGTCATCAGCATTGTTATCAGGCCAGAGTATTTTTTTTTCTGGTGTTCAGCAGTGGGTCCCAGCTTTTTTGTGTGCTTCCAGCTAATGCATCTCATCCTGTCACAGCCAAGATCAAAGGCCATGCACCTCTTCCCAGTTTCTACAGAATTGCTCCCACTGCTCTACCACTCTCCACTTGGGAAGTGGGGCTCAGGGTACAAAAAGCAGAGCAGATAAATCAGGTTTCATTACACATTCACTTCCCTGTGGGTTCAGCCTCACAAATCAAAACTGGCACTGGTGAAATGAGGTGCTGCTAACTGAAGCAGTGAAACAATAGAGCACAGGCTAAAGTCTGCCATTGTGCATGGCTGTTAGCCACACACCAGTATTGGGAGGGGCTCTTTAGCATCATCTTCCAGGGTTTCACACAACTGCTACTGATAGAAACTTTGAAATATAACTTAACACAGTAATAATTGCTTTTTTAATTTATGCACTTTGAAAGATACTGCTGCCTAAAACCAGTGTAGAGGTTTCTGACACTGGATTCAAGGACTATTAACTCATAAATGTCATCATTTAACTGACAATAAGAATAATCTATTTTGTCATTCTTTTTCTCTTCTGTATTTAACAGCCCATTTATTCATTCATTCCCTATTACTTTGAGTTTCCTAACAAATGTAAATACCCTTCAAAGCAAATCTGGGAGTTTTTTAAGAATTTGTTCCCCATCTGCCAATACTGAGGGATGCATTCACAGCTTTAAGGAATTTTTTTTTTTCTCCTGCAATTTCATCCTTGTATCTCTGTGTGTTTTTTTCTGGCTAATGCTTTCCCACTTGGAAGACTCCCTGCGAGCTTAAGCAACATGTTAAGATAATTCTACCATTTTGGTCCCAGGTGCTGGAAGAAAATCATGCTCATGATTTGCTTTCAGACACAGAGCTGATGCTGGTTTACATGTATACCCATCAACACCACTCTGGGCTCCGTTATTATTAGTTGTTGGGTTTTGTGGGTAGAATTCAGGAACCACAGACACTGCAGTTAAACATCCTGGACACACGTGGCTTTGCACAAGGTTTAAAAACCAACTTTGAAAGTCAAATAATATTAGCACTGACAGCAAGTCCAAGCCAATGACCCCAAAATGCCAAAGGCTTTCAGGTGCTCTTAGAGCAACTGAAGCTCTCTGGCATTTAGAGAAAAAATGGATGACTTGGCAGCTGAATAGTTATTCAGGAAAATAACCAGCCCAGGCAAAACACAATAGATTGTTTTAGGGATGAAGATGAACGGAAGATGCACAGCTGCTCATCAGTGTTACCTCTCCTGCACACGCTGGACTGAGAAATCAACAGTGTAGCAAAGCACAAACAGGGCAATGTGCCTTTCTTACACAAAGACAGGTACCTCCCGGGCTAGTCTGCCAAGGAATATTAAACAACAGCATCGTAAAGAGCAGCTAAACTTACTAGAAGAGGCAAACAACAAGTGTGTCTTGATCCTGCCCTGCATCCTTCCGCATAGGAACACGATGTAATTCACAGACGAGCCCTGAGGACCCCGGGCTAGCAAGCACCGCCCGCATCAGCCGCTGTGCCCGCAGCATCCCGCGCTGTCAGGAGCTGGTCGAGCGTGCCAGGCGGCACATGGAATGCTGTGCTGCCGCCAGGTCTGCGGGCACCAGAGGGCACTGGCAGGCTGGATGAGAAGCGGAAAGAGCTGACCTGATGGGCGTATCAGGAGCAAATATTTCAGCAGATTTAACAAGTCAAGCATCTATTTTGATGTTATGAGGCAGAATGGATGGAAGGAAAATCCAAGGAGCTTACGTTTTATTTTCTTTTAGCCTTTCAAGTCGTCCAAGTGTGAGGGGTTTTCATTTAAAATTAAAGTGCATAAAATGTGTCAGCCAAGGGACAATAAAAGGTAGGCACTTGTGAAAGGAGTGCAACAGCAGTGCTCCCACTTAGATGTTCAACACTGCCACTACTGATGGGACTAAAGCAGCTATAAATCAGAAAAATACTGTGGTGCTGAGGACAGTTACAGATTT